ATACATACATACATACATACATACATACATACATACATACATACATACATACATACATATGTATATTTGTGTGTTCTAGCATACAGTAGGTTGTGTTGCAAGGCCCGTTTTCCAAAATGTATTACCTTGTACAGACCCACTGCTGCTGTTTTTATGTGGGGGATTAGGTTAAAGACTACGGTGTGAATTGAAGGGTGGGTCTTATTTAAGGTAAGGGTCAAAAGTACTAGTAAATCAGTGAGAGGGTGGAATTCACATACATTTTCATATTACGTTTACACATTACATCTTTGAATGGCCTTGCCCCACCTGTCTGATCTGCTGCACCTCTAATCCGTCCCGCTCCCTCAGATCAGCTGATCAGCTGCTCCTGAGGGTCCCTAAAACCAGACTCAAAGTCAAGCGGGGTCGATCTTTTGCTGCAGCAGCTCCTAAACTATGGAACGAGCTACCTCTCCAAATCAGACAGTCCCCTTCACTGGCTATTTTTAAATTTCATCTTAAAACCCACTTGTTTTCTTTGGGTTTTGACACTGTGTAAGGGGTTATGTTGTCCATATGTACTAGATTTTATTTTTTGAAGAAATTTTCTTGTTTTTCTTGTAGATTTTAAATTAGGATTTAGGCATTTTGTTGTTTTTTATTTCCTGTTTTTAGTTTGTTTTTTTATTTCCTGCTTTTATTTTTTCTGTGTTTTTTATTCTTATTTTATTTTTGGTTGTATTTGTTTCCTTTTTATGAGCTRTGTTGGAATGTTGATTCTGTACAGCACTCTGCTTTTCTGTGGTGCAAAAAGTGTTTTACGAATAAAGTTGGATTGGATTTAGATGCTTACATGTATTTTGTAAAGAATAGACCTGAAATCTACAGTTTATATTAGAAAACCCAGAATGATGCAAGAGGTTTGGTTTGGTTTGGTTTGGTTTGGTTTGGTTTGGTTTGGTGGACTGAAATCTGAGATGAAACATTTGTGCCTAATTAGCTCAACACAAGTATAATGAAATTAAACTATGCATCTTCCAGTATTAACTCAATTAGTGTAATAATAATTTATTATGTTATTATATCTCGTGTTGAATCTGTTTCTGGTTCTTTTTATTGATAAATAGAAACTATTTACAAGGTTTGTAATTTTTTAAGGACTACTTCAGCTGTAGAAGACCATACAGGTTCCAAAGCAAGTGTTCTTGGTCTATAGCTTTTGAATAGTTAAATCCATATTTTTGCTCTTCCTGCCTGTATTTGTATCCTCATAAAAACATGCAGTTATTTCCAGCTGAGAAAGAAGAGTGGAGGTTGGTTCCTTTGATAACAACAACACTTATTATAATCAGCAGACAACTGCTTAATTTTTTTTTCCATTTCAGTGAAATTCCTTTTTTAAGTTGTATTTAATTCCCTTGCCTTTGTTTATGTCTCTCTTGTTTTGTCTACACAAGCACTGTGCTCTTACTCCATCCAAGCTGTGAGAGTGTAAAGAATAAAGGCATGAAACTGCAGGCATGCAAAAGGTAGAGTAATGAGTCTCGGTGCATTTCTTTGCAAATGCAAGTTCAGTGAGAAGATGCTGAACAAGATGGGCAATAAAAGGCACTAAGTTTTGTGTGTGTGTGTTGTTAAAGAAACAATGATGACACCTATAAAACACACACCTGTTGCAAGGGTTTGTGGAGGCTGGAACGCAGCACAGACGACATTACTGCGGTGCTGAACACTTCCGTTCCACTCAGAGGGCTCAACAACAGGCTGAGAGAAGGAATGTGAGTAGAAAACTGTTAAAACCCTGTAGAGACAAACACAGAGGGGACGAGACGTTGAGTTTAAGCGTCCAATAATGTGTCACTCTAAAGGATAGGACCTCTACATGTTGAGGCCAAAAATAAACATGTGCAGTAAATGCATGGATCAAGAGATAAAGATCTTTGGATTACAGTTTGTAATTATTAAAATCAGCACAAAAATATTGAAAATACAAGTCAGAGTTAAATAATTCTTGTTAAAGTTTATCCAACATAACTCATGTTTTGCGAGAAAGATATGCAGAATTGCTAAWAATGTAGGGCACCACAAGTGAACCAAATAAGCCTCGGGAGGCTGAAGGTTCGGGATTTTGTAGCACTGTAAGGGTTGTTTCACATGGCGGACCGGGACAATATTTGTGGAGTGGCAGACCTGGGTGGTGGTCGTTATCTTTAGAAAGGTGTCCACTAACTATCGAGGGATCACACTTCTCAGGCTCCTTGCATAGAAAAGTTTACTCCAGAATGTTGGAACAGAGGATCTGGTCAATTATTGAACCTGGGATTCAGGAGGAGCAGTTTGACTTTGGTCCTGGCTGTGGAACAGTGGACCACATTCAACACTTGCAAAGTTACTAAAGGGGTTTGTATAGAAGTTTGACTCTCTAGTCTATCTGCATGTGCTGACTTATGATTGTTTTCCATGGTGTATCCTGTAATGATGCTGGGTCCCTTTTAAAAGCTACCAGGTTGCTGCAACCAAAGCAAGAGTTTTGTCCACATCGTGTCACGGGCTGGACTCCATTGGAACTGTCCATCTCTGATCCTGTTTGAAGTGTTCACAGGCAGAAACAGTGCAGCTGCGGAGAGGAGGGCATCTCAAAGGCTGTTCAAACCAAGTCTCAGAGAAACTGACTCTCATCACAGCCATTTAAGTTTGGGGGTGTGGTTCTCGATTGGAAAAAAGGTTGGACGACTCCATCAGCTTTGGTGTGAGAATTTGCCTAAATGGAGTTTAAATATCAGGAAGTTTTGTTCACGAGTGATGGATGGATGWAGCTGAAGATGGGTCAACAAATCAAGGTTCAGTCCATAGTCATGATAACAAAGGAGCTGAGCCAGAGGGTAAAGCTCTCAGTTCTCACCTGTGGTCATAGCTTACAAATCATGACTGAAAAAAAGAAAGATGCAACTGACTGTAATGAGCTTTCAACACAGGGTGGCAAGGCTCAACCTTAGAGACGATGTGAGGAGCTTCTTTATTTGGGGGAGCCTAAAGTAAAGTCTCTGCCCACATTGAAAAAAGGCGTTGGAAATGGTTCAGGCATCTGATTAGGATGCCTTCCTCTGGAGGATTTCTTGGCAGGTCCTACTTTAAAGTGATGCTGAGAGAGATGCAGTTGCTGGAGGAAATATTTTATCTCTGGTCTTGCAATGTGTTGAAATCTTCCAAGAAGGGCTGGGWGTGCCAACGGGAGGGGAGGTCTGGATTTTACCCATGGGCCTGAAGTTTCTGTGACCAGACCTATTGACAATCAACATTTATTACATATACAAGTATTTCAAAGTTGCATACTTAAAAAAGTGTATTAATTGTTGTGTAGTTTAATTTACAGCAAAAAATGGCTTACCTTAGTAGCACACTAGGATTGTGTTCATTTTTTATTGTCTATACTTTTATCTCAGTTTTGTGGCATTACATTTTCCAGATAATAATTGTTATTAAAACTTCATATTTTAAATTGAGAGAAATCTTATTTTTTTACTTTATACTATTTTGCAGTGGCAGTAATAATATTACATCATAGCATTAGTGCCACAAAAATAGTAAGGAGTTTTACATAAACAGTAAAACAATATAGATAGATTAACAAGGAGAGGATGGAAAGTCAAAATGGAAAGTCAAATCTATGAAAGCAGTAATACATGTAACAGTTTAGTTTCAAGTATTAAAGATAGCAGTGGGAAAATTATTGGTAAAATATACACACATTATTTCATACAACAAAAAAGGTTTTCAGATGTTCAAATACAGTAGCATTTTCCTAATTTTGGCAGATCAGTACCAGCAGAAATTGTATTTTACTGAAATAAGATGCTTTTTACTTCTCTTCAGCTCCTTAAAATTTGCTTTGTACTTGCAGTACCTGACAGTCGTGGTAATAAACGTAAGCACAGTTTCTTTACCCCACAGTGCTTTGGAGGGGGGATATGAATATGCAACACTTTCATGTTTATCATCTTAGGAGGGCTTTCAGCACACCTGCAAAGAGTTCTCCTTTTTAAAACTATTTTCTTTTTCTGTCATCACAGCACTTTTTTTTCCCCTTTTTACATTTTGCAGACGTGCAGTCTAGAGAATGAAATGATGCAGTATCTGGCTTCCTACTGAGGAGCGGAATGTGGCTATTTTGATCGTTYGGTCAGCAAGGTGCTACAGGACTTTAAATTAGATGCCATGTGATACGCCCGCCGTATGGATTAAACTGGAAGCTCTCTTATGTGAGGAAGCAGGAAATGATGTGAGTGACGAAAGTCATAACGACACAGCTTTTCGTTCACCGCTGCTGATCTGTCGTCTCTGTTCTCCGTAACCCACTGTGAAACCACGGAGAGCAAGAAATTGTCTGTTGAGGCGTGTGTGTGGGTGGGTGGGTGGTGATGGGGGAGGACTCATGTAGCGGGGAACTTAAATTTGTTTACGCAGTCACAATTTTACAACTCGTCTTCCTTGCTGGGACAAAAAGCAAGCTCAAAAGACAATAAAGGCATGTTTTAGGGGTTTAGACTTGGGTTACATTACAGGTAGGATCAGATATTAAATATGATTAAGCAAAACAGATTTGAAATAAATGAATTGTATGCCCTCTGAAATCATCAATATACAAAATCTGTGTGTGTGTGTGTGTGTGTGTGTGCGTGTGTGTGTGTGTGTGTGCGCGCGTGAATGTAAAAACGTGCAAGACAGAAAGAGTTGAAGCTGTATAACTTGATAGCACGCTGCTGAGTTCAGCTCACTGGGTGTGAAATGATGATGAAGATGAAGAGCAGATGTGATGTGGATACACAAAAGAGACACACACACACTGTCACACAAATCTGAGGTGGTGATGGTAAAGCGAATGTGAGCGCCCCGGAGCGTTCTGACTTGTTAGGGTCCAGATGTCTGGTTGGCTCGGAGTTGTTGGCAGGCAGACGCAGCAGGAAAGGACAGATAGAAACACACACATGCGCGCGCACACACACACACACACACACACACACACACACACACACACACACACACACACACACTTCTGTGCTTCTATCTTTGTGAGGACAACTACTGACAAAAAGTATCTCATTTCTCTGAAGCCTCACAATGCTGGAACTAGTTTAACCTGAATCCTGAAGTCTTAAGTCTTAAAGGGATCCCTGATTAGTTGTAACATTAGACTTTATTTGATAAACATATATTTTA